TTTTTTTTTTTTTTAGTTCACCATATTCAGTGTGATGAAAATAGATGAACAATAATGAAAGAATGAAGATAGAAACCTAGAAAGAGGAGGAGGGTAGCCTGAGCAATCCAAGATCGTTTCTCAAAGGGTGAGGAAAAGAGAGTGTTGTGCTTCGTCTCTGCCAAAGATTAACAAACGTGACTTCTAAAGCTTATATTACTATTCTAAATTTACAGAAAAATTAGCCAAGCCCAAAATAGTGCTGCCAGCGGTAAGTGCAGTGAGGCTGTTTTCCCCATGCAGCGGCACTTTTCACCCCTCAGCGGAGGCCAACGTGACGCCTGAGGATACCGCTCAGCCGGTAAAACTGCCGCCGAGTGGCCAGTTGACGGCTTCTCCTTTTGCACTTTTTTGACAGGTCTTTTCTGATTCCATCTATCCTCTTCACTCTATTGCACCAAAATTCCACCTTAAAACCGCTTAAAACACTAAAATCAAGCATAAAACCTGTCCAGTCTCTTATTTCTAGAAATATACAACAAAAGCATGATTTCAATAATAGTTTCAAGTGTTATTAAGGTTGCTTTTAGTATTCAATCTTTAGAGCATGAAAAATAATAGTTTTTCAAACTGTTATCAGTAGAGGTAATATGTAGACAACTTGGGCCTAAAAGAACTAATGTGACCACAAGGAAGAAGTCAAACAACAACACCGCCCCCACACCTTCTCAAGCAGTCAACAACAAAATGAAGAAGCGTTACACCACACCCAACTCAAGGCAAGTCAAATACTCAAGAAACCCAGACTAATGAAATCACAACACCACTTTAGATTGTTCTACTTTCAAAGACAATTAAGTACATCTTTGTTCTATTTTGGACATGTACTTTGACTTTAAGATAGTGTTGCTTTCTGTCATGTATTTTGCACTTAACAACGATTTACATTTTGGATGATATCTGAACTATTTTGGATGATATGTGATGTTTGTGATAGATTTTCGACCTTGGATTAACATTTTGGGTTCTTCATATTCTATTGTCATAGCAATATTAATTTGGCTTCTATGATTTGAAACTTGTTTATATTTTTTGTAATTGCGGTAGCCATATTCATTTTCCATCCCTGATTTCAAACTTTATTATATTTAATGTATTCTGATAGACATATTAATTTGGCTTCTCTGATTTCAAACTTTATTTCATTGGCATCTCTGAAAATTACACTTGAAATAACAAACATTTGAATATAACAACTTCTTAAGTTAAATCAAAAAACAAAATGGATTACAAGCACAAATCTCATTACAACCAGAATTCTCATTCATATTTAGTGTCAAAGAAGAACCATACAATTTAACTAACTTCGCATCACAAAATGTGACTGATTACAACAATTCAACAAAATAAAGCATAACACACATACAAAGACGATTAATAATCAACCTCATCAAAGGATTAACATCCCAGATTAAGAGCCTTTCCTTCTCTGACAAACAAAAGTGTTTTTCACAAATTAATAATTGCACCTTTGCCGACCCAATTGTAGTATCCCTTTCATCAACATATCGTCACTAGCCCATTTGAAGAAATTACATCCTCGCACTTGTTCATTTCGACTCCGCTGTACAAAACTATCCAACCAAAGATTAATTCAGCAAAAACCAAATAAATGTATCCCAAAATAAAAACATAACGAAGGGAAGAAACCTTGTAATTAGGGCAGCCCCAAAAAGGCTTGCCTTCGTTCTTAGCAGTTTTTGCGACTCTCAATACGACAAGCTCTCCACAATAGCATATTTGTGTGCCAAGCATTCCTCTTGATGAAGCATCACGAGAGCTCCCCCGTGAGCAAGACGAACAATGATTCATTGACATTGCGTCGTCGTGACTCAATAATTTTTCGTCCACACCAACAAAAACAACCCCAAACCCCAAAAATGAACCACAATCAGAGAAGACAACAGCGATAGGGCACCCACCTCACACGAAGGAAACAACGAAGGGCACCCCACCTCAGCAACCTCCTTCACCTCAGAAGACAACAACAATAGTTCCTCAACATAGGGCACCCACCTAACACCAACCAAACAACGAAGGCAACCAGACCTCAGTTCACCTCTTTCACCTCAGCTCCTTCACCTAAGCTCCTTCGACATTAATGTCTTAGGGCAAACACGTTAGCCTTTAATTTATTGTAATGAAATAATAATTTCATACTGCCTTTGGTTTAAAATTATCTTTTGCCACGTCAGATAAGTTATTTGCCACATCATTTAACATTTAACGCCGTTCCTTACAACATAACGGATAGGACTGAATTGATACAAATTTCAAAACATAGGTACCAAATGTCTACATTTTTAAAACCGGGTATTAAACAAAAAATTACCTCCTAACATGGGGACTAAGTAAACATTTAAGCCTACATAAAATAACAAATATTAGAAAAATAAAATAACAGAGAAAGCGAAATTTGAAATATGCAGACTATACAACCGAAGTTGGAAATGAGCCTACTCTTAACCAAACTTCGAAGTTTGGTTGAGAGCTATGGAACTTCGAAGTGCAACAATACATAACCGACGTCAACGCTGATGCATCCTTAACCGTAGTTCCAACACTAGTTAAGAGTGTTTAAGATTATATCTAGTAATCTCCTCAATCTCTTTCAAATGTGTGAATCTCTTTTACCACTTTTTCTTTCAAGAACCACACCACACACGGCACGACCACCACTAATGTAATGACCACTACAAGCTTAAAAAAAACCAGTGAAACAATGAAAATAGTAAAAAAATGACACTCAATAATGAAGAAATGGGAAATAAGTACACATAGGGTTTATAGAAATAGGTTTAAAGGTTATTGATTGTTAGAACATCATTAAATCATTATTAATTTAAACTTTAATAAATGAAGGATAAAAATAGCAAATGAAAGGTGCAGAGAGTAAGTCTCCAAATCCTAATCCAATCCTTGGTTAACTGCTATTTTGGGTATTTGCCATTTGTTTTAATGGAAAATATAAATAGTGTAATTCAGAACTAATTAAACTACAAATTGGAATCGCAAATTAAATCAGTTTTATTAAACTTTAAATTAATCCGCCACTGTCTACATCTTATGATCTAAACGATATCGGAATAAAATATAATGTGTTTCTTTAACAAAATTATGTACTAAAATCGTAAGAACCACGTTATTTCTCAAGCTTTTGAAAAATAAAAAGCAAATGATCCATAAAAACCATAACTACCGTAGAATGTGTGATGCATTAGGAATCCGAATTCCCTCCTCTAGCTTAAGACACGTGCATAAATCAAATTCTTCAAAACTGAAGCGACCAAGTAGAACCCTTGGAACCAAACCAAATCCTAGAAAATCGCACCAATGTCAGAGCCTCCAAACCCAAAACCCAGGCTCGTAATCTGCGTAGGCGACATCCACGGCTTCGTAACGAAGCTGAAAAATCTATGGTTGAACCTCGAACGCAGCATCGAACGATCCGAATTCGAAACTGCCACCGTAATCTTCCTCGGCGACTACTGCGACCGCGGTCCCGACACCCGCCTCGTCATCGATTTCCTCGTGGCATTGCCCTCCCGTTACCCGCGGCAGAAACACGTCTTCCTTTCCGGCAACCATGACCTGGCCTTCGCCGCCTTCCTTCACCTCCTGCCGCCACCTCCTGACGGGTCGCCGTTCTCGGATGGGTGGAAGGAGTACTCGGCGAGCGAGGATCGTGAAGGGTGGTTCGGTGGTGAGGGGTTCGAGAATATGCACCTGCAAGGTCGAAGGTGGAGTGGTAAGATAAAGGTTAAGTATAACACTGTCAAGGAGACGGAGTATCAAGGATCAATTTACGACGCTAGGCCAACCTTTGAATCCTATGGAGTTCCCCATGGTTCCGCTGGTTCGCCTCTCTTGTTCTTGGCTTTGCCTACCACTGATTGTTTNGAAGCTGAAAAATCTATGGTTGAACCTCGAACGCAGCATCGAACGATCCGAATTCGAAACTGCCACCGTAATCTTCCTCGGCGACTACTGCGACCGCGGTCCCGACACCCGCCTCGTCATCGATTTCCTCGTGGCATTGCCCTCCCGTTACCCGCGGCAGAAACACGTCTTCCTTTCCGGCAACCATGACCTGGCCTTCGCCGCCTTCCTTCACCTCCTGCCGCCACCTCCTGACGGGTCGCCGTTCTCGGATGGGTGGAAGGAGTACTCGGCGAGCGAGGATCGTGAAGGGTGGTTCGGTGGTGAGGGGTTCGAGAATATGCACCTGCAAGGTCGAAGGTGGAGTGGTAAGATAAAGGTTAAGTATAACACTGTCAAGGAGACGGAGTATCAAGGATCAATTTACGACGCTAGGCCAACCTTTGAATCCTATGGAGTTCCCCATGGTTCCGCTGGTTCGCCTCTCTTGTTCTTGGCTTTGCCTACCACTGATTGTTTTCGTCTTCTTTTCCTTTCCTGCCAATTCAATTTACTCATTACTTACATTGAAAGAAAAAGATTTTAAGTTTTAATGACCACACACTACATACACTATGAGCTTAAATCACACACAATTTGTATGATACCGTAAAACTAATTTATATTTTCTCAAAGTTTTTCTTCAAACTGATATTCAATTATAGATTATCATACCCTTGCTCTGAGAATAACCAGCTCAAAGAACTGAAGTTTTGTAGGAATGACTCAAGCTCTTATAATGGTTACAAATAAAAAGATCGGTTATCATGTATTGGTTAGTTTTTTAATAATTATTTTAAAAGTTGGAATTTAATATAACTGCATATTAGATAACTTGTTATTCGAACATAAGTAATCATGCATGGTAAGTTTACTTCTAAAACTAAAGGTGTTTGACAGATACGATTTATTATCAGAGTGCAAACATTATATTTAGAATGATTCTTTATTACTTATAGGATAACTATATGAAACTCAAATATTTTGGTGACAAAAGAATTGATTGATTTGGAAAGACAGATTTTAATCGTGCCTAAGATATTTCATAGCCAATGTCTTAGGGTGTTACCAAGATCCATCAACAAATTTTAAGGCCATGGTGTTTGGATTTTGTAAGGATATGATATAGAATTGGGTTTTGAAGAAGAAAAGGAGGATCATATTTTAATTTGTAATAAATATTTTCTGATTGGATAGATTTTTAAAATTAGAAATATAAAGCAATAGAATGATTTAAATTTGTTGCCTTAAGCATTTATTTACTTTATTTAAAAACTGAGAATAGTAAGATAAATGTCAATAAATGACAACATATAGAATAATATATATACAAGAGAAGATTGTGTAGCACCCGCTAAGGAAAGATGATAGAAAACCGGTTAAACTGGTTTGGATACATTCAAAGAAAGTCACAATAGGCGCTAATTAGAAGAGTAAATTGCATGTGTTCTAGTTATGTGAAAAGGAGCTGGAAACCAAAAAAGGACATAGGAGGAAATTGTCAAGCAAAATACCAGGTTAAATAATATTTATGAAGATTTAGTTTTAACAGTGTGGAATGGCGTCATGTGATCTGTATAGCTGATTTCCCATAGGGGGTAAGACTTTGTTATTGTTGTTGTTGTGTAACTATTGCATAACTATTAATTTATATAGAAAGTTGTTCTTCCATTTTCAATGAAGTGAATAGACCTTAAAGCTGATTTTAGGGTGAATCCTACGGCTATCTTCCATGAAATTTTATCATAGCTAATGTAGTATTTGGTTTTTAAAAGTAACTAAGATATATTTTTAATGTTAGGAAGTAAGAATTGAAACGAAAAGGAAACGACATATTTTATGAAATAGGATGAAAAGAATAAGAAAGTGGAGAGAAATTCGTCCTCCAAGGGTTTCCCTTCAGAGAGGATTTCTCCTTACTCAAAATTCAATGCTCAGTCTACAATCCCTTGAACATTAATATTATAACCAGGCCACTCTAATTAAGTAACCAGGCCATTAATATTATAACCATCTTATAAAGTTCTCCTTTTCTTATATCCTAACAATACAACCCTCCTAAAATCAAACTTGTCCTCATGGATGGAATTGTGGAAGTTTGATTCCAGGTTGTTACCATGATCTTCATTTGCCCTCCTGCTAAGCATTGTGATGTTTTCCTGGAAATGAGAACCCACTTGCCTCCTATAGAGAAACTCATGTTAGGCTGCATGGGTGGTGGTGGGGATGAGGGTCTAGTCTGTACGACAATAATTACCAAGACTGTCTTTGACTTTCTTCCTTCTGTCTTGGCTCCATTACTAGCTTGATGGTTGAATCTTCATCTTGCTTCTTGAGAAAGTCTACTACTTCATTTTCAATGTGTTTCAGTTTCTCCCTCTTCATGGAAATATCAACTTCTTTCTCCCTCATAACTTCAACCTCTGCTTCTCATACTAATTTTCGTTCACCATATTTTGTTTCTTCTCCACAACAAAGGGAGTGGTTCTTGATTACTAAACTTTCAAAAGTTGATAATTCGACTTTCTTTGCCCAAGAACATGGAAGAAAGTCATGTTCTTCCTCAAACCCACTGTTCTCCCCTTCTTCTTCCACCGATTTCTCGCATTTATTAATTTTCCTCCTCAACAGATGACGGTTTCTTGTTTTTCATCTGCAATAGCAAATGTTTGGTATAAACCATACCAGTTTTTAATTCTGCGAGTTGCATACCTTTCTCAGTGACAACTTTCTCCAACGGTCCAACCTACCCAGAAGTTCGGATTAATTTATTAAGAACCAAGGATTGAAAAGTAAAAGAAAGATTTGTGTTCAATAGGATGAAGAGAACAAGAAATAGAAGAGAATCTGTCCTCCAAAGGTTCCCCGTTTCTCCTTTCTGAAAGAGCCAATGGCCAATTTACAGTAACAACAAATTTGCATCTCTCTTGTTCTTCTTCCCTATTTATATCTAACTAACTTGTCTAACCAACTAACTAATCCGTTAATATTAACTTTTAATGAATTTCTCCTCTCCTTATATCCTAACAGACAACTTGTGTTGCATTGGTTCATACATGCACATGACTATGTTCAGGTATCAACTTGTTAAAAAGTTGTATATTATTTTTTATCAGGAATTGTCAGTACAGAAGGCATAATTTTATTCATATGGAAATCAACGTACCTAAGACACACTATTAGTTAATAAATTGACAAAAAGATAGTGCCGGAAAGATAGGATAAAAACAAATTCATCCTATCATTCAACATGTCTTTTGTTTACCCTGCTTTACCTCTGTTCCGAAGAAAAAAAAAAACAAGATTTGTCATCCCAAATTCTTTTGGCATTTCAACTTTGAACTTTATTATTGGCTTCTCACTAGTGTTTGTCACAAGGATGTCATCAACATAGATAGAAATTATGATTAAATTACGATTGACCATTTCACCTATAATGTAGCTTCCCATGGACTTTTAACAAAACCAAGATTTTGAATATTATCATCAATTCTACCCTACCAAGCCCTATTTGCCTATTTAGGACCATTGAAGGCCTTCTTTAGCTTGTACACCTTTTCTTCTTGTCCCTTAACTTTAAGTCCCTTTGGTTGCTCTACAAATATCACCTCCTATAATTATTTAAAAATGAAAATTATACATCTAAATGGCAAATTTTCTATCCTTTTTGTCCCTGCCAAAGTCTTATTGTCATTGATCATTATTTGTGCAACCGTTTTCTAATAACCATGGGTCACTTTTGCAACAAAAAGTTGCTTTCCTTCTTGTTCCTTCAATAATCACTTTTGCCTCTTCCAATTTAAACTTGTAGATTAGTTCTACATATCCTAGATCACCACATTTTCTACACTTGATATCTGGTCCCTGCCTACATTTTCTTTGAGGATGGTTTGTCTTTTTGCAATATGGAAGGGATGATAGGTCTCTCCTTTTTGCTTATTGAATCCTTCTAGCTTTTTATTCTCCCATTTCTTATTCTTGTCTTTGTCACCTTTTAAGTTTTGTTCTTTCACATGAAAAACACCTGTATAATTTCCTTTTATCTTATTGTTCTTCTCTACTCTTGGGCATGTTGATAATGACCCATTTTAAGAAATAGCAAATATGATGTTATGGAGATTAAGAAAACTCTAGGAAGATTCCCACTAGATATTAAGATAAGCAAGGTTATCTAGATGTGAAGATGCACATCTAAGAGTTCAAGAGAAGAAGAGAATTCAATTAACCCATTAAACATAAAACAAGAAACAAAAGCAAGTAAATGGCAACTTGAAAGAAGCTTAAAATGAAGAAAATATGAACAAATGGAAGACTTGAAAAGGGATGGGGAAGCAAGGGTAGCATGCCACTTAGGGGCGACTAAGGCTCATCAACCCAATATAAGTGGGGATGCCGCCACGTGAGCTCTAATCTCAAGATAAGGCTAGAGCGGAAGACATTCACAAAGAGACAATCTCACAAAGGTGGTCAAATATATGTGTATTAATCTCCAAAATATTCAACCCTCGTAATAGTCTTGGGAAGCCCCTTCTTGAAGTGTGAAAAATGGTCTCCTTGCAAAAACATAAAGCTAAAGGTTGCAACTATAAAAGGACAAACTAATGTTCTAGAAGCTAGGTCAAAGGAGGTGTCTTGAAAAGGAGAGAACCCTAGTTTGGTCTCCAAGGCTCTTCATTTGTGTGCCTATTGACCTTGTAGAAGAGAAGGTCAACCTTGCCTCCCAAACCTCTCCAAATGTGCGCTAGATGTGCTTGGCCCCAAGGATGGGCCTCTCCTCCACTCCATGTATGTTATTCTCCTCCAAGTTGGCACTAGCTTGACTTACAAAACAAACACCATGGTCAATGGTCAACAAGTCAACTTAAGTCAAGTCAACTCAACTTAACAAGTAAAGTCAACATAAGGAAATAGAAAACAAAGGTAAGAAAGATGCCTCCCTTCTAGTCATGCTTCTTGTCACTCTTCTTGGAAAGTCCTCTAAGGCTTCATGGTGAGTCATGAGACTCATCACACGTAGTGCATTAATCAAGTCTCCTTAGGTGATGGTTGATATAGATCTTTTGACTCCTCCAACGCTGATATATTCGATTCATGCTTTTCTATTGTAGTAACCAAATTTTTTTTGAGCTATTCATTCATCAAGACAGTCCTTTCCAAGAAACTGCACTTTATTTGCTATGTTCAACTGTCCATCAACATTACTTTTAATTGTTTTTGTCTCCTTCATGCTTTACATCACAAATTCTCTAACCAAGTTCAGAACCTGCATGTCTTTTTTGCTATGTTCTTTCACACCTAGCATCTTATTTTTTGAGGTATTGAAGTTCATAATTCTTGTAAAAATAATTTTTATATAGCAGAAAAAAAAAGACAATTTTTTACCTTGGTTTCTCTTTTAACAGTCTGATCTGGTGATATTTCATCTGAGCCAATTCTGGAATGTCAGTCTTCTTATATTGTCTATAACTCATACTCACCATCACAAAATAAAAGCTCTCATACTAATTTGTAATTTTCTTTTTTCCAGAATTTTAGTGCAGAAGGTATAATTTTATTCATACGGAAATCAACGACGTATTTATAGAACACGAGTAAAAGTATTAGTTAATAAACTGACTAAAAGATTGTGGCTAAAAGAATAGGATAAAAACAGATTTACCCTGTCAATCAATGTAACTTTTATTTAAAAAAAAAAAAAAAAAACTAATATATTCTGTTTGTTAATTAGTTCCAACAGTTATATCTTCAACAAAAGTTTGCCCTGTGACGTTTTCAATTTATAATTACATCTATCAAAGCACTAAGTTGTATAGATGAAAATATGTTAGGTCAGAGCAATACAAGTTGTCACGGATCAAATTGTTTAATTCACTTTTGTCATGTATGCATTTTTGTAATTTTAAATTATAATCATACTTCAACACATTTTCTATTATTGGTCCTTTATTTTGTTAAAAGTCAGTATTTGATATTTTGGTTCGAAGAGTGACTTTTTTTACAAGACAACGGAATTGACGTATTAGAAAGTAGTTCAATAATAGAGTTTGTAAAAGAATGTGTGAGAACGAACGGTATATTGGTGGTATTTCTTTTTAAATTATATTTTGAATCTTGAATACTACACTTTCTGTTAATTGTGTTATTTTGATATGTCAAGGTTTTTGAAATGTTGAGGTTGTGGTGAAATTTGCTTCGTTTTATTGATCTTGCTAACTTGGTTTGTAACTTAGTATGTGTAGTTTTATATAGCTTCAGGTTTACTATGAATGACATTGGTGAATTATAGTTACTGTTATATAGCTAGGGGATCTTCGTTGTCCTAGAAGTATAATGTATGAGTACTGTTTTGAAGTCTAACTAGCGCTTTCTTTTAAATTGATTAATGTTTTCTAGACTGAAGGGCAGTTCATTGCATACAGATTTGGTTAAGGCTGTTCCTGATGAGCATAAGAAATTTCTGGCTGATTTGGTTTGGGTCCATGAAGAGGTGAGGCTTACTTTGTTTGCCTCTTTATGTTTGTGGTCGTATCATATGATAGATTTCTAAGTTATCTGGTTGCCTCTTGATTTGGCATCCTTGTTTCGTCTGCTTAATGATTTGAATTAAATGAAGAATTGCTGAAAGTTCTCTGGATAAAATTTTGCTAGGACGATGTCTTCATTAACACTGAAGATGGAAGTAAATGCTGCAAGTTGATTGCTGTTCATGCTGGTTTGGAGAAAAGAGTAGATGTGAAAGAACAGTTACAACTTTTGAAAGCTCGAAATACTCGGGTGCCTAAGGTGGAGGCTCTAAGTGGGAGAAAGAGTGTGTGGGATATTCCAGAGGTGATAGCTTGCTGCGTATTATAATATTACTGCTACATCATATGGTTTTAAATTGGGAAAATTATATTCAGGACTAAAAGGATATTTATGCCTTTACTTTTTCTTTTGTAGAATCTTTAAATAAGTTGGCTTATTGGTTTCTTTTAGGAACTAAGTGCAAGTCCAACCATCATTGTGAGTGGTCACCATGCGAAACTTCATATAGAAGGCTTAAGGCTGATCATTGATGAAGGTGGCGGATTTAAAGATAAACCAGTGGCTGCAATTATTCTTCCTTCACAGAAGATTATTCGTGATACAGATGTATTAGCAGAATAGTTTGATACTCATGATATTTTTGTTTGTATATGGCGTAGTCAACTTGTTAAGCTTTAGATCTCATGAGCATTTAGCGATGAGATATTTTGTGTTGATATGAAATTTAGGTGGTTAATAAAGCATGGAACTATTCCTTTTCCCAATGCTATGGATCTTAATCTTTCACCTTTTATATGACAAGTGCAATGTGAATGACTTGTTTATTTGTGAATTGTTTAAGTTTGACATGTTAGTATCAACTTTATTTTACTGAATAAATAAGCTTTAGTTAGATTTTGAGGCTCAATTATATAAATAATCAAAGATCAATATATAGATTTGATTAAGCTCAGATTTCTAAGTTGATGAATATTAGAGACATTTGCATTCATTTTACAATTAGAATAAGATACAAAAAGTCAAGAAACTGCAAAAATAGAAGATTTATAAAGATGGAACTAGAAGAGAGTCATTTAAAGATGAAGGAAATTCATCTTTATAATAAACTCCATAGAATAGACATTTTTAACTAGGAGTTCAAGATAAGATCCGACGTAAGTAGTCGTTCATATAAGTAGTCTTACAAATTCAAATTTTGTACATTTTTTCAAAAATGATTTATAACGAGTGATGATTATTATTTCTAACGTTGCCATCCAAAAGTTGCTAACCTCCTAAATGACACCTAAATTTCCCTCCATGATATGCAAATGTAGTTTCTAGATCACATTAACCCATGCCAAAGTTCAAATATAAAAGGAAAGGAAATTTGAAAACTCAAAATTCAATAGAAATGAAATTATATCTTGGAGGTTGAAAGAAAATGTGTAGGACCTTTCCACGCTTGCACATGCTTCCAATGTCTCTCTATTGGAATGCTTTCCAGGCTTATGTTTGTTGAAGCCATGGTTATTAATTTAATGAATCCAATATTTCTATTCTTTAAAGATTGACTATCATCATGAATATGTAGAAGTGTTTTAGGTTTTGTTGTAATGTCAAAAAATATAGCATAAAACTATATAATAGTCATCACATGATTAATATAAAGAAACAGTTAGAGAAAAGATTATAAAGTATTATTTACAGTCATCCAAAAATAACTATAAATTTAAAACTTTATATACAAGGGTTACTCAAAACTGTATACAACTACTATTAACAAAAATACTAAACGTCAACGGCTCCTCCATCTAATGCCTACTTAAGCGAGATCTCATCACACTCATTAGATGATCATCGCCAAGAAAAGAAATAAAAAACATACAACAAAATCACAAACACAAGGGTAAGCAAGATAAACAAGACAATTTCATGTATATCACATGCCCCAAGAACTGTACTTCTTCTATCCAAAACTCGCACTTAGACAACTTGACTTACAACTTCTTCTCTCTTAACACCCTAAACACTATCCTGAGGTGATCAACATGCTCCTCATGAGTCTTGGAATAGATAAAAATATCGTCTATGAAGACTATGACAAACTTATCTAAAAATGTCCTGAAGATCCTGTTCATATAATCCATGAATATGGCTAGAGCGTTAGTCACACCAAAAGGCATGACCACATACTTATAATGACCATATCAAGAATTGAAAGCTGTCTTATGCACATCACCTACCTTAACCAAAATCTGATGGTAGCCTGATGTTAGATCTATCTTGGAGAATACTGTGGCTCCATGTACCTAATCCATCAAATCATCAATTCTGGGTAGTAGATACTTTCTTCTTTACTAGTAACACCGGCGCACCCCACAACGAGACACTCAGTCTGATAATTTGTTTCTCTAACAACTCCTCTATTTGTTTCTTTAGCTCCACTAACTCAGCACGAGCCATTCGATAAGGAGCTATTGATATTGACCCTGCACTTGACACCAAATCAATACAAAACTCAACCTCCATATAAGGAGGTAATTTTGGTACTTCCTTAGGAAATACATCCAAGAAATCACTCACAATTGAGTGATCTAAACTCCTTCCACTCTGATCCACTTCCATATGTGTCAAAACCAAGAAACAACAAGACCCTTCCTTTACTTCATTCCATACCTGCCCTGAAGACAACACAACTGACTCTTCCTTCTCTGGAAATAACAACCTCTTCTCACTACAATCTATGAGAATGAGATTGACAGATAGCCAATCCATCCCAAAGATAACCTCCAAACCTATTAGCGGTAAGCAAATTAAATTGACTCTGAACTGACGTCCCTCAACAACAACAGAGCATCTAGCACACATAGTAGACATCGTGACCAACCCATAAGCTAGAGTAGATACAACCTGATCATACTACAACTCTCTAACCAGCAATCCCAACTCATGCACACACGCATCAGACACAAAAGAGTGTGTTGCTCCAGAATCAAACAAAACAAAACAAACTCTACCATACAACAAGAACCTGTCGATAATAAGATTACCTGATCCCATAGCCTCTGACCTTGACATAGCATATACCCTGCTTGTAGCCTAAGGTCTACCACCTCCTATATGATGAGACGAACTTGACCTCTATGACTAAGATCCTGACCCTCTAGTTTATGTATAGTCCACAACAACATGCCCTTCTTTCCCAAAGTTGAAACACTTCCTTACACCATCCCATTAGGACAAGCATTTCTATAATGCGGTCCTCCACAGTAAAGGCACTTCACTTCACCAGGTTGTCCTTCTTGCCTTGCTGACTGAGAAAAAGCCCCTCTAGACCCACGAGAGGGAGGTCTAGAATAGGGTGTCCTCCTATCCACCTTACTATGCTTCGACCCAGATGGTCCGCCAACTCTCTGAGGTTGCTTTTGTTGACTATCCACTTCCTTCTTTTTCTTGTCCATAACTCGAGCTCTCTCCACTAAAAAAGGAAATTCCTTTATGCATAAGCCAACAACTAACAACTTGATATCACCATTCAAACCATTTTAAAATTTTCTAAATTGCCACTCCTCATCCATGGACAATGTATGAAAATGAAGCAAATGTTTAAACTTATCGGTGTACTCAGAAATAGACATACCACCTGTACCAACTATAGAAATTCCACCTCCTTGGCAAAAATGACACTATCTGGAAAATACTCAGTATAAAACTTCTTTTTAAACAACTCCCAAGTAATTAGAGTACCATTGCTTCCTATTAAGGATCTCATACCACTCCACCAATGACTAGTTTCACCTATTAGCAAGTACTCGGTGTAAGTTAATCAGTTCTCCTCAGGGAACCTCTTTGCATAAAAAATTCTCTCCATATGTCGGAACCTTACCATCAAACTTAGCTAGGTGATGCTGTAAGAAACTTTCAAGGCTCCACTCCTGAGAATGAACAAGGATAGAAGAAGAAGACTCAGCTGCAGCTTTTCCACTACTCATCAACTCCATACATTGCCTTTGGGATACGTCAGCTGACACCTTGACAACTTCCAACTACTATAAGCCACTGTGTTCTGTTGCACCAAAGCGGAATTCTGCTATTTCATTGCCGTTATAACAGATTCCATCATCCTCATAAGATCTAGAGCATCTTGATTTATGGGTAGGGGAGGAGGAGGCCTAGGTGTCATCTTCTATTTATACAGAGAGAAAAGTCATCAACCCAACTCAAAGAAACAAGGATACCAACTAGACAAAGCTATGAGTACACAACCAAAAGCATAGTACACTCATAACCTACATGATTTCTAAGGAAAGAATTGCTCTAATAACAAAAATGTAACATCCTAAAATATAGCATAAAACTATATAATAGTCATCACATGATTAATATAAAGAAACAGTTAGAGAAAAGATTATAAAGTATTATTTATAGTCGTTCCAAAATAACTATAAATTTAAAACTTTATATATAAAGGTTACTCAAAACTATATACAACTACTACTAACTAAAATCCTAAACGTCAGCGGCTCCTCCCTCTAACGCCTGCTCAAAAGAGACCTCATCATCCTCTGTCACACTCACCAGATGATCATCGTCAAGAAAAGCAACCAAAAACATACAACAAAATCACAAACACAAGGGTAAGCTAGATAAACAAGACAACTTCATATACACACACACACACACACACACACACACTAATTCAAACATCAACTCAAATTAGGACAATAAAAAACCACTCATCCTATACATGTCATAACATAGACAATACTCATCCGGATTAGGTATGGATGTCGAACTATTGGTAGTCTGTTCACTTGTATGATAATACAACTGGCCAACACCAAGCTACCATACAAGGTTAGTTCATTTCAATTGCCTAGGGCCATGATCAAAGCCTATAGACAAGAACCTCCCGCTACTCTCACCACATGACTCATCCCTCTCTACTTGAGAATGAATGATAATTAGAGTGTCAGAATAAATCACCAGTTCAAAGCTCCACACATTCATACAAAAAAAAAAAACAATCAAGGCACTACCATGAAATCTCTCCACGAGTCTTGGAATTACGTCCATTGACCATACTTCAAACACACACACACACATATATATAAAATCTCAAAAATCAATTATCATATAATAGAACATATGCTTCCACTCCATCGTCAATGTAATATCATAGTTCAGAGTTACTAGAAAACAAGGAAAGAAAGGAAGAAAACAGGTTCTGGAATTGTCGCTCAGGGAACCATGCTCGTTGTGCGAAAACAGAAACAGTGGGTCATGCTCACTCACTCTCGCTCAGCAAGAAGTGTTGTGCTCGCTCAGCGGACACTAGCTCGTTGTGTGAAAACATAAATAGTGGGTTTTGCTCACTCACCTCTTGCTCAGCAGGGAGCTCGCTCAAGATTATTAAGATGTTGTTTAAAGAACGAAAAAACCATTTAATTCATGCATGAAACACATTTAATGCGTATTCTCATACAAGCTCATCAATCAAATAAAGATGTTCAAGTGAGTGTGAAGCTTCTCAATGGCTAACCTTGTAAACATCAAAAGATGTAAAATCTTCTTCAAGCAACTTGAAGAAGAATCCGTGTAGAAGAAACTCTAGAAGTTAAAGCATGTAATGATGGAGGATAGGAAGTGTAAAGAGTGGTATGGAAGTGCATCTTGAAGGAGGTTAGGCCAACCATCAAGGGAAAAAGGTTAGGAGAAGTCAAGTAAATGACAAACCTAATGAACTCAGAGTAAAGGAGATTGAAAATTTTGGCAGAGGTTCCCTTCATATATTTCAAGTTATGTTTACAAGAGGTGGCCACTCCTATTTATAAGAGAGAGTAATAAACCTATATGAAGTTTGAATGCAATGAATTAGCCAAGGCACATTGAACTAGGGAGCTTCTTAAACCTTTCTCAAGAGTAGATGCAATGTATGAGATCCTCCTCTTTTCAACCAAGTTCTAGAAGGTTCTTTAAGCCCAAGCAAGCCCAAAAACATGTTAGATCGCATCCCACTAAAAAGGGAAGTCCAAAAGGTGCAAAACTAGTGTATTTGAACTATCTAACAGAAATAATTGATTATTCAATGCCATAATCAATCATTTCCATGATGAAACATAAAAAAAGGCCAAAGCTGGTTAAAATAATCGATTATCAAATTAAATAATCAATTATTTCAATCACTTGTGAAGAAAATGGCCAAAAACAAGCCTAAATGACATGAAAACTAGACTGATGTGGGCTACCGAGGGACGGCGGGTGACGAGGAGGGTTGTGGCTACCGATGGAATGAATGTCTGAAGCTTCAAGCAACGCTCTCATGACTAGGAACTTAGAGTTTGTAAACTCATTTCTCAATTTAGTGTATTCTTCCCTCAAATCACAATTTTCCAAGTCATGTTGTTATAGTAGATGTGTCAAGCACTCGACGGCCTCGTCAGCAGTGGTGGTTGAAGAAGAAGGTTGATGCTTCAGAGTACCTCCTCTTGCTGCTGTGTAATTTGCAGTCAGCTGTCTTGCACCGTATACTCGTCCCTTTTTCTTTCCACCAACGACATCGACCCAACACTGTGTCTTATGGATGTCGTTGTCTTCATTACTTACATCATCTGGTGTAGGAGCTGACCTATGTTCGGATATAACCTATGAAAGTCTCGTAGAAAATTCTTTCTGTTGAATCATTAAAAATTAGAGAATGATACAGTAACATAAATAAAAATTACTAGCTAGTATTAGCAGTGTTATTTGCTTCCATGAGTCTTTCAAGACCTTTCATCAACGAATTCAGTAGTTCCCTTCCGAACATAGGTCTATGCAAAGACCTCATCAACATGAACCGCCTGTCCCAAAGCTTGTGCTTGTAACATAATTTAGAGTTAGAAGTATACATGAAATAGAAAATACATACGTTAATATGAAAGAAACATGAAAGTAATGAAGGTTTACCATACGAATGACATGCTCATGAACCGTGATCGACCCACCGGTATGAAGGGTGTCACCCTTTTCAGAAGCTCTGTTCTTTTGGTCTCTAGCACACTTATTGCGAAACTCTATTGAATTCCAATGAGCGAGTAAAGAGTTCCAAACGTGCTCATCCATCCAGTAAGGCCGCTCCCCTGCCAAGTGGGCATCCCTAAACATCTTTGACAGTCGATGAGATGCTTTACTGTGGAAATTTCTTTGTATAGGAGTTTCATGTTCAGGTTTCCACTGCACCTTCATATGTTACAATAAACAAAAGAAACATTGATTAATGAACATACTAAAATAAGAATGACAATTAGTTTAATGGGTTGTTCACCTTAAAATGCTGCTAGAATGACTCTCTATCGTCTACAAGTATTGCTCCCCAAGTAGGCCATGGACTCAAATATTGTTGCTTAATTGATTGTATGATGGCCTGGGAAGCAACCCTGGATGGAACAAACCTCCATATAAAGAAATAAAAAGTCTATCGCATTAAGGAAAACTTAAAACATCAAAATAATTAAAAAAAGGATTAAATTCTTACCCTCAACCATAAGGCTCAATCCATGGTCGATCATGGAGAGGCGGGTCAACAACATCACCAGCTAAATCTGGATCACCAGATACTGTGACAATCTCAGAAGCCGGTATAGAAGATGAAAAGTAGGGTTAAGGGGAGGAGTGAAAGTAATAACCATAAGGGGGAGGAAGAGTGTCTACTGTAGGGGGAGTACGAGGGTCTGCTGTAGGGGGAGTATGAGGGTGTACTAGAGAGGTAGGAGGAATGTCATCTATAGCTAAAGGGGGAGGGGTCTGTTGCATGTGATGGTCCCACAAACGATGGATTGGGGGCAGTAGTGGTAGGTAGTGTAGCAGGCACCCTAAGTAGATATCGTGGTGCCTGTCGTTGCCTCTTTTTAGGCCTTGCTACCCCTTTTCCTTTATCAGGACGTGATGAACATTCTCATGTCATTACTGCATTGAAATGGTTACAAATAAAGTAAAACAGTAGAAAGGACTAAGGAATGATCAGTACAAATTAAAGTGAACGTAAAATAATTGCATACAACTTTTAAGATGGTATTTTGTATAACTAAATTGGAATG